GCTGCAGTGGTCTCAGGGCTGGTAGTGAATTAAAAAAACATAGTCAGTCAGGAACCTAGGCGTCTTGTTCGACCCTCAACTGTCCTTTCTACCCCACATTCGTGCCATGACCCGCTCTGCTTTCCCCCACCTGCCCAACATTGTCCGACTCCGCTACTACCTCACCCCTCAGGCTGCCGAAACACTCATTTATGCCTTCATTACAACCAGGGTTGACTATACCAACGTACTGCTTGTCGGCCTTCCCAAGTTTTCCCTACACAAGCTACAGATCATCCAGAACTCTGCAGCTCATGTCCTCTCCCGCATCAGGCTCTGTTACTCCATCACATCAACCCTCACCCGGCTCCACTGGCTCCCTATCCCTCAGAGGATCGAGTTCAAAATTCTAGTCATCACCTTCAAGGCTCTCTATTCTGTCCGCTTCCTCTACTCAGCAGGCTCTGGCCTGCTTCATGTCACTAGCCTGCCCCACAATTGGCGGTTGGACCTTCAGCCTCTCTGCCCCCTCCCTCTGGGACTCCATCCCACATTCCTTTTGCCTCGCTCCCACCCTTCCTGCCTTGCCTCCTTCAAGACATGCCTCAAAACCCTCCTCTTTGATCCTGCCTTCACCACTCTCCTACCCTCTCTGCCTTCCCAACCCCCCCACCCCGCCCCACTCGGGTGCTAATCCCTGACTGTCCTTAAAGGTGCTTTACAAATGTCATTTCATATTGTATTGTATAGGAGTAATGTCCACTGTAGAAAAGAGCCATCAAAACCAATAAGTGAGCAGATGTTAAACATGCTCGTATAAAACTTTAACAAACTAATTTCCCCAAGAACATTTATCCCTCTAGGCCACTTTGCCGGTAACCAATCATGAAAAATTATATATATTTTACAACTTTAATATCGATCAATCAATTTTAAGCAAGTGCTCCTGTTTCATTAATATGTTTCTACAATTTTGATTTAAAAGGTTAACAGGGCAGGCTGTCCTTTCTGGATGCCTCATTGATTCAGTATAACTTACAGAACGTACAGACATGGAGCAATGGGCTTGGCGTTTACTGAAAACATTAAATGTTGCCTCACCGACAAAACAGGAACTTCAAAGGATCAGCATAAGTGTGGTGTCCAACTCTGGGGTAAGTTTCCGTTTTTAAGGATTTCGGACATTTGAACGTAATAATCAGGCTTAGATAAATTGATCCCATTAAACATGTGATGAAATGTCATATTTGTCATCCCATTGTTTCAACTGGAATTGCAACACTACTCCTTTTAAGGCTGTGACAAGCATTTCTAACAGGTGTAACCTCCACCCTTTTCAGACACCCATTTCTTTAGGAATACACAAAAGAAATGATCAACGTTACTCTCTCTAACTTACTGTCACCAAGAAGCAATGTTGATATGTTTCCCTATCATTTAAAACTTTCGGACCAATCCACAAGAAAATCAACTGATGTGAATCTTTGTGGTTTGAGCCAAATCCGATTGGTAAAGGGATGGAAGGTCAGTCCCAATTTTAATATCTTTTTAATCATTATTGCTGATTTTTTTTCTGCCACTGGAAGATGAAAGTACAAGGTCGGCTTCACTGATGAGCAGTACTGTAATTGAGTCAGAGTTAGACTGAGGATACAGTGTCTATACTACAGCAAGCTCATTGCTTGGCAATCACCTTTGTGTTTTGAGATTTCATGTTGTTAGGTATTGGGTTTAAATCAATACCTGAATGAAGATAACTCCGCTGATATCTGAGGAGGTCAGAGATCCAGTCTACATTATGTTAGGTTTCCAATTGCCCTAAATTCTTTTCATTTAAAAATTCTAAAAATAATTTCCTACATGTTTAATACTCTCAGCTGGCTGAACAATTAATGTTTTTTGTAATTCTGGACACAAATGAACTGTCAGAGAACACTTAATAAAATAAATAAGACTGCTTAAATGGCTTAATACAATGTCCTCTTTCCATCTGAATAACTGAATGTCTTAATACTTTTTTTTAGAAATTGTTCAGCTCCTCATGCACACAGAAGCTCCATGGAGGAAAAAGGGGAATAAAATCCCTAAAGGTAATTACGAGGTAAAAAATCTTTAATGTTTTACTCCTTTAGTGATCTGGGCTCATCTGGGTCAGGGACATTGGGTCTAATTTGTGATACTTGAAGCCTTCTTGTCAGCCTGAGCAGTCAGTGGTTTCTGAAAGTATTGAGATGACTCAGAAAGGACCACATAGAGGTGTGTAAACATTTTAAAAGGGGATTGAAAAAGCAAACTTAGATCATTACTATAGGATGATTCATGACAGTAGAAAAAGAGGACATAACAAGAATATCCTTGCATTTGATATAGTGCTTTATCACCTCTTCAAGACGTCTCAAAGCGCTTCACAGAATATACTGTAAAGTGAATTGACTGTGTATTTTATATACGGTGAAATGAGGCAGCCAACTGCACACAGCAGTGCACCACAAACAGTTATGGACATAGGTTTAAGAACTGTAAAGAGCAATTTAAAGACAGATACCAGAATATTTTCTTTATGCAGAGGGTAATCAATGATTGGCACAGGTTGCCAGGAAAGGTGCTTGAGGTCAGGGCACTGGACTAATTTAAAAAGCAGTTCGATGCAATAATGGGGAGACAGTTGGGAGGGTGTTCTGGAAAGATGAGATTGGATGGGTTGAAAGGCTTTTTTCATACAGACCAATCTTGTAATCTTGTGGAAGTCATTAAAGTGTGAAAAAAGGCCAGAGAATGACACCGTGGGGAGATGCCAGAACAGCCTCATTTTAAAAATGAAAAGATGGACTTTCATTAGTATTATAACATCAGCGAATTGCATTAATATACAGCCCTTCACATAGGATAATGTCTTACATTATAATATTATAATGATGGGGTTGAACACTGAGCAGGGGAGAGGAGGGGGTGTGTGGGGAGAGAAATGTGGCCATTGTCACGATCAATGAGGTATGATATCAAGTGGGACTTAAAGAAAGATGGAGAGGTTGGAGAAGATTTCACCTTGAAATCATTTTATGTAAATCTTCAATGTTGAACATCACAATTTAACTATTCACTGGAATAACTGTTCTCTTTGACCGTGCCTTCAGCTCCCTTCTCGACTCTCTACCCCCTCCTCGTTCCCTCCCTTCCCTCCCCTCACCCTGACCATTTCCCCCCTGCTCGGGTCCTGACCCTACTGTACAGCGCCTTGGGACGTCCTCCCGACGTGAAAGGCGCTCTATAAATGGAATCTTGTTGTTGTTGTTTTGCATTATCTCATATTCCAAGCACTGCTGGCTGGGTGGGGCGAGAGCTATTTACAAAGGAAGTTGTTTTTAACACAAACTAGAATCACAATGAAAACGAGTTGCCGAAAGGCACAACAGCCTTTTATTTTTCTAAGGGCTGCAGACTTGTGTTACGGACTGAGTGCCAAAAAAATAATCTCGCAGTCCAAGGAGATGGGAAGGGGAATTGAGTATTTTAGGGACGTTCCCTGCTCAGTGTTATTCATTCCCTGTCATCCTGTAAGTCCCTGTAGCTGGCTCATTGGAGTCTTGTGGAGCTGGATGAGGCGGTGTGTGCTTCAACAATGCAGCATTCACTGTCTGTCCCCCAAAGAAGAAAGCCAAATTCAGCTGTTTAGAATCATGCTGGGATTTGCACAAATGAATCCCTGAGAGCTACAGTGCTAAATCATTTCCATAACCTTGCACAGATCATTTTGAAATATCATTCACGTACTTATTTTTTTCAATTATTGCAGTGCGGATCTCAACAGCCTAGCAGCTATTTGTAAAGCAGATCTATTTCTATCTGGGAAAGAATTGCACATTCGTGGCATTTCTTGCTGCATTAACATGGGAACACACTGGGAATACACAGCCAAAACCCAGCACCAGGGCATTTTGATGAAATGACATGAAAAGCCCTTCCCTGAGAATTCATCCCTGTCCTACTTGTGACTTCAGCACATAACCAACATTAACCGTGTGGCATTTTTAAAATTAAAAAATGTGGCAGGCATGGGTATTCCATCAGAAGGACTATCCAGATTGTGAATTAATTCCTGAAATGTGCTTTGTGCAACCAAACCTTAGACACAACCATTTGTGCTGGTTTGCAGACACAGGCTATATTGCAAGGAGAGTAAGTACACTTAATTCCTCAATTCTACAGACCTCAAGACTGTGCTAGCACACGTTAAGTACTCTATGCACTGAATCAATAACACATTTTGGAGATTTTTAAATAATCTTTCCATTCAAATTGGATATCTGAATTAAAATCACTCACAACTGTCACATTTTCAAGTTGAGTTAGTTTAAATTTCCCAGGAGCACACAGACAAAGTCTTCAGATGACACAAGCCGCTAAAAGGATTCTTACGGTGATGTTTGTTTTACCACATTTTATTGAATTAATCCACTTTCTATTAATAGTGTCCCGCAATGTGCACTTTATGGAGCTAAATCTCTCACAAAATGACCCCCTTTCCGAATCCAAAGGNTTTTTTGTTAAGTATGCAATTCTGTTTCCACTGGGATTCAAAGTGAGCTAAAGGCAAACTAATTTCACATGAGAACATGCATTTCCAAGAATATAAAAGGAACAATTACAACCTCGATCTCCTCCCAAAAAGATACAGAAACAAAACAAACAATCCCATTAGAGAAAATAGAGAACAAACCCAAGGGGAGTGCACACCTCTTAACATTCAATACATTGGAAAACCAAGGACAGGGTTATTATCCTTAAAGTCACAGTAAGAGAGAAAAATTCTGAATAATTAAAGCTCCAATTAACCTAGCATTCTTTTCTTTTTACGCTATTGCATGCTTCGAAGCAGTGCCTGACTTCATTTAGTAAAATCAATAGAATGAACTCAGGCATTCACTTCATCAAACTCATAAGCAGTTTGGAAAGTCTCAATGCAAAGATGCATGAAACTTAATTTGTGAATCTGAATAATGGGCTTCATGCTGGTGACTTACCTCTGTGTCATGATTTTAAAGGCATCTGGGAGGTAGCATTGCACATTTTCCATTTGAAATGGATCTGCATCACAGATCTTGTCGTCGGTGCGACCATAGTTGGCGCTCTCAATCATGATGACATCACTTCCTGGGCAGCGTAGGTCAATGGGGTAGCCCTCACAGGACAACTCCCTCCTCACCAGACCAAAGGGTAATGCAGCTCGACTGAAGCCTAGAAACAAAATGCGAGAGGTCACAAAGGTTTCCAAGTGTCCTCTTTGACAATCAAACCATAAAACTGGTACTCTATCATCAAACTAAAAATTCAGTTTCAGGACTTTGCCTTGTTCTCATGTTCTCATTTCAATTCAGATAACTGTCAATTATGATAAGTGACGCAGGCTTTCAAAATGCTGAGTTTTTACCTTTTGTTCAGATGCAAATATGATTAAATGCCCCAAACAATATCACTCGCTTTGCAAGCGAGAGACCTGAGTTCAATTCCAGGCAGGGCAAAACCTTGGGCAAGTTTCCTTACTCCACACGCCTAATAATAATCCCTTCAAAACCAAAAACAATAATAAATTGGTCATTTTCAATCTACGACTGTTTGTGGGACATTGCTGTGCGCATTTGGCTGCCGCGTTCGCCCACAAATATACAGTCAATTCACTTTACAGTGTGTTCTGTGAAGCACTTTGGGATGTCCTCTCGACGTGAAAAGTGCTATATCAAATGCAAGGATTATTATTATTATTACTATAATTCCATTTTCAGTCATTCAGATATGCAACCTCGCAGTCAAAACTTGATGAATCTGCATTATATTCAAATTCAGCACTATCTTTCGGGTACTGGACTGAACCATGTAGATGTTGAACGTTCCAAGTTCAACCCTCCTTCTGTCAGTCGGGGCAACGCTGTGGTTTCAATAATTGGCTGTGGCATCACTCAGGTAAGGAAGGTAGAGGAAAACTTAAGTGAGTTGCCAACACTTTTTTGTTTGCACATCATTTCAGTGCATAGCTAAGCTGTACAGACCAAAGTTCTGGGTTCAATCCCTAATCTATCTTTGCTGATCAGAAATAGGGCAAAGAGAACAGGGAAAGTACAATTAGTCTTACTCCTTTTACTTCTGGCTGCCAACCAACAACCCTTCTAGAGGTGTGGATCTTAAAAATTATGCCAAAACCTTGCTAACGATTGCTAAAGTTTACATGTGAACAATAGCTACTTGAGTGAGGGGCTCCTTTGGAGCATAGTTTACAACAATAGTAACTCGCACTTGTAGAAGTACCTTTTATGTAGGTAATGTCTCCAAACTTTTTCCTGACAAGAACAAGATGGGAAATAATATTACTAATAATCCTTGCATTTGATATAGCACCTTATCAAATCTTCGAGAGTCTCAAAGAATATACCGTAAAGTTAACTGACTGTATATTTTGTGGGTGAAATGTGGCAGCCAATTGCACCCAGCTGCAAAAAATAATAATAAATTGGTCACTTCAATCCATGACTGTTTGTGGGTCACTGCTGTGCGCAATTGTCTGCTGTGTTTCGCCCACAAAAATATACAGTCAATTCACTTTACAGTATATTCTGTGAAGGGCTTTGAGACGTCTCAAAGATATGATAAGGCGCTATATCAAATGAAAGGATTATTATTGTTACAGCAGTGTGCAAAGGTCTTGAAAAGTAAGGGAGGGACGAGACAGAAGCATTTTGGGGTAAGATTCCACAGAGAGGACAGAGAAACTAAAAATATGGAACAGGAAAGAGAAGGGGAGCGGAAAAAAGTGGCAAGAAAACAAGACTGAGCACAAGCCTGGTCACTGAGCCACACAAATACAGTGAAACTACCGTATTATGGAATAGCTGCCATTTTGGGTCTGCACTAAAATTCCTTGACCTTTTGCCTCTGTATTTCTAATTCGGGATGATGTATTCTGTGCTTTTGTTCTCTCTCGCACTCTCCTTACTCTTCCCCCTTTATTTAAGAGGCCCCAAAACAGGCCCCACTGAATGACATTTACACCACATTTCACAGCACACACCCTGTATGCTATAGCATAGCTGCACTGTGAGTAAAGCAACGGGCATCATTATACTACAAATGAGCAGGGATAATTCATCAATTAGAACCGAGTATGTAACGCTCATAATTTTTAAACATTAATGCAATAAAATTTCATATGCATGGTAGTGATTACAAAGACATCAGCTCTGTTAACAATTATGAAAGACATTGAAATCCATCTGCACTGAGGGAAATTAGCCCTTTGAGAACTATAGTAGAATTTCTGCATCAAAATGAAGAATGTAACAAGGTTAGGCTATATTAGCTCCGTCAGAGAATCCTGCACATGATAAAATGTTCTGGATATGAGAACATTTATCTCATTCTACTTTGTAATGTTCGGCAACATAAAGTTACAGGAAATCATTTTGTTACTGATGTCAGCGAGAGGAAGCGTCTGGTGATTTTCAAAGCTGCAAAGCAGACTTGCATTTGAAGGCTTCACACAGAATTAGCTCACTCTTTTTTCCTCCCTTTCTACTCCCAATTTAAAAAATGACCCACTGTCCACTGAGTGAGACAATAAAAACTTGACTTGAATCTTTCACTCAGCGATAAAAGTGACCTGAATTTAATCAAAAGCAGTTTGAAACGATAATAAAGTACACATTTGGTAGGAGGCATATAGGGAGCCAGTGAGTAAAGAGTATTGAAAGGGCACAAGGGATGATATATATAGCAAGGGAAGAGAGAAACAATAAAGGTTTGCCACTGCAGGGATAAACCCGCTGAACTAATTTACAAGCTGTGAAGCTTGCTTCCGGTTCACAATACAACTTTGACCCAATAAATAATCGGTGACTGGAATTTTAATGACTAGATTTACATCTTGTTCAACTGTACATATCAGCTCAGACAGAAATCAAAATTTAATCTGACTATGTGATTTACATATACCTTTACTTTCAAGTGGAATTATCATGAGTATTATGTGTATCAGTCCAGCTCAGGTGGTAGCTCTGGTCTCCGAGTCAGTGGGTTCAAGCCTCATATTGGGATTTTGAATTCATAGTTTAGGTTGACACACCAGTGCAGTGCTGGGGGGGGTCACTGCAATGTGAGAGGTCCATCCTTTTAAAAAGACGTTAAAATGAGATCCCGGCTGCCTGTTCTGGTGGACGTTAAAATCTTGTGGCACTATTTGAAAAGAGAAGGGAATTTCTTCCAGTGTTCTGGTCAATAATTCCCCAAATAAAATTGGTCATTCACTTCATGTCTGTTTGTCGGACACTGCCAGGCCTACAAAATATACAGCTGTTACACTTTATAGTATATCCTGTGAAGTGCTTTGAGATACACTCCCAAACACAAAAGACAATGCATCGAAAATGGGAGAATTTTTCAACCAACTCAAGATCCAAGGCACAATTTATTGATAACAATGACGCTAAGTCAAAATGTTGGCATGCTTACCATTCCCAACAGTGTCATGAAATGTCAAATTGTCAATGGGGGAACAAAGTGGACGCACCTAGATAATAGAAGTGTACATGTGTGGAAGGAAATACAGATGTTTGTGTCCCTCCTAGTGTTTGATAACAGCGCAGTTTCGGTTGAGGAAAAGCAAATTGCACGGATGCTATTGTCAGAAAAATAATTCTTTATAATCAAGTATCTGAAAAAAATCTGAATTTAAAGCTTGAACTAAACAAGCCCTCAGGGTTCTGCCAACCAATTATTTTGTTAATTGAATATCCAATAGAATTTTAGCATATTAAAATTCCACAAAAGTGCTACAACTTGCTGGTTAAGGTTAAACGTGCAATCAGCATTTTACAAGGTTACAATTCAGCATCATGCTGAAAATCTTGCAGCACATTCAGGGGCATTTTCAGCCAACCATCCATCTTGTAAGCTACTAAAACAAAACCAAATAGGTTTGAAGACATTGGTGCGAGCAAATCAGGAGCAAAAAGATCAAATCTGTGTCTAACTCTGCAGCGTGCCTGGCTCAATAACGACTCAATGAATCGATTATTTCATTTTTTGTCAATTAAAATGCTTAATCAACTGGAATTATCGCAGCTTTGCAGGGGCCTTATTTAAGAGAAGGCAAAGACCATTATTTCAAAAGAATGGTGTGCTTTTCTAGTGGGTGGATAGCTGATAAAATTCCAACAAACTCCATGCTTTGAGTTGACCTGCATCAGTCTGTAACCTTCTTCCTGAAGTAGCGCTTGAAGATGATCAAATAGATGTTGTTTATGGCAAATCACATCTCTTAAAAAAAATCTAACACCTTACATATGTTTCTCTTATGCTTTCCTGACAGTGAAAATCAAAAGATTGAAAGTGCTTTTCAACAAACTGCTGTGCAAGGAATCAACGTGCACTAATGAGTGATGTTTCTGTAAAATGGGCATCATTAGGAGATGTTGCTTTAGCAGCTCATTGACACATTCCTAAGATCTTATAATATATTTCAAGTTTTTTTTATCAGTAAAGGTGGGGGGGGAGACAGCCTTCACAGCAACTGAATGTAATTCACTCTATCTTACGGCTCTGACAATCGAAGAAAGACGGTGGGAAGCTCAGCCACCAAACAAAATCAATACTACAGCCTGCACTCTGTGAATATGGACCTTGCCAAACACTAGCACTTAAGAGAAGAATTAACCATTTCACTCAATTTTCTTTTCTCTGAACGAATGATTTTGAAAGGATGAGCTTTTTTTCTTTAAGAACAGTGAACGATGTCAGGTTATACAACTTCTTGCTACAGGGCGATTCAGTTTCATTAAAAGTCCCCCAATAAAAGGTGAGACTCTCTGTGTTCACTTGCTTAATGTACTTTCTGATGTACACAGTAGCTCTGAGTATCAGATAAATAAGCACAATGCTATCAGAGGGAATAAGTCTGAGAGACTAATAGAGTCAAAATTTGCCTTAGGTTTTTTCTATTGTTTCCAAGCTTTCCTGCACTAAGTACACTGTCAATGATGATTGCTGTTAACAGCAGCTTTTAGTCTCACATGAAGTCGCAGTCATTTATATTTACAGTCCTGTGCTTACTTAATGAATCTCTGTTCACAGTCTAGTGCCTAGGAAAAAAAGCACCATTACCGCTTTTGTTTACAAATTTGTTTTGTCAGATTGGTGCTGCGCTACATTCCCTCCTTTTCTTTCATCTCATTCAAACTACATACTGAGTG